TGGCAGCCAGGCTTCAAAGATACAGGTAACACGTGCTTTTCTGGAAAGTTCCTGATTTGGGCACCAACCTTGAAATTGCCCTGGTCTTGACATCTCTACGGTAAGGGTAACATGAAATTCCTGTTCATGGTTACCTGGCAGAGGCAAGGGATGGGGCAAGGGGAAGGCAAGAGCAACAGCAAGTGACTTGGTGAAGAAAAATAAATCACACAGCAGCCTTTTAACTAGTAGTACTGTTTGCTTCTAGAAGATTCTGAGAGTAACTGATATCTCTTTTGGAAGATAGAAAAAGTGTAAAGAGGGAGGTAGTAATTGTCCATCATCCTGCTCCTCAGAGATGATGGCTGTTGCTATGGTAGCCTGTTGCCTTTATCTACCTTCTATGCATATTTCTACAAAACAGGCTCCAGCTGGGGGTATAGCTAAGAGGCACAGTGCCTACCTGGCAAATGCAAGGTCCTGAGTTTGATTCCTGGTACCAATCTTTTCCTCCAAAGACCCCCCCCCCAACAAACAGATGCTGTTATTCCAGCATCTGAAAATGACTTTAAAGCTTTTCACCAATTTCAAAGGCTTCTTTGGGAGGGTCTGGATTAAAAGCAAAATCCCCTGGTGGAACTGTGGAGCACCTCCAGGAAGTGACTAGCCCTCCAGCAGGGCCACTAAAGGCACCCAAGAGACTGCTGGAATCACCTTTAGCACCTGCCAAGTGTTTCCAGATGCATCTGACCAAAAGAAGGCAGAAAGAAGGAAGCTCTGCCCCGCCTCAGTGTGTGTCCCCAGGAAGGTGCACCAACCCGTGACCCAGTGAGCAATGGCAGGGAGATACGACCCGGTTGCAGTTGGTGATACTCCTGAGCCTCACTAAGGCACAGGTAGGGGACTGGCACCCAGAGTCTGCTGAGAACAGTGTCATCATAGATGAAAACAGACATGTCACCATGCAGTATATACCAGGCTTTGTCTCAGCAGCAAGTGCTGCTGTCTTCATTATTATTCTACAAGCGAGGAAACTGGTCCAGAGCGGTGAAGTAGCTACCTGAAGGCCCCACAGCCAGAGCTGGGATCCGAACCAGGCTGCCTCCCTGCAGGCATCTTTTGTAGACTGTACATCTCATGCAGGCCAGGAATTTGGTGATAGATGTCCTTCTTATATTCTTCACCGAATCACTATGAGCTAGACAATGAATATATAAATGAATATATATATATATATTCATCGATTTTAACATATGAATCCCAGCCTACCCAGCATCTCATTTGTTTACAAATCAGGAGGAAACAGGGACAGGTTGTGACATAAGAAATCTGTAAAACTCATCTTACAGATGGAGAGACTGAGGCTCTGAGAGGTTGAACACTTTGCCTGAGATCCTTCGACAACTGGTGCTCAAACTGTCCGATAACCATTGGCAAAAAGTAAACCTCAATCTAAATGACGTACTTTACATAAAATGGATGCAAGAAAGAAAGAAGGGCTGAGTGTAAAATGTACAATACAACTTTTAAAGGAATATGTAGGAGAAACCCTTTTTTATGATTGAGTTTAGACTAAGAGTTTCTACCTGTGAGGCCAAAAGCATGATCCATAAAATAAAATAAAACACTGGTAAATTGTATTTCAAAAGTAAAATTTTTTTTTGCTGGGCACAAAGTAAGAGAATGAGAAGCTAAACCAGAGATTGGGAGAATATCTCTTGAAGCGAAATGCTAATAAAAGATTTGTGTCTAGACCATATAGAGTTCTCAAAAACTCAACAGTAAAAAGATACAATTAGCAAACAGAGAAAAGACTTGAACAAATACCAAAGAGGATATTTGAGAGGCAAATAAGCACATGAAAAGATGTTCCAACCCATTAGCCATCAGGAAATTCAATTTGAAGCCACAATGAGACATCACTACACACCTGTTAAAATAGCTAAAATAAAAAAAAAAAAACACTCACAATAACAAGTGCTGTCAAGGATGCGGAGCAACTGATCAGGATGTGTGAGTGGCTCTTCTTCATCCGTGGCAGGAAGGCAGTGAAGTAGTGCATATTTCTCTCCGTGATGAGCATGACATTTAAAAGGAAGAATTGTTTCCATAATTTCTTATGAAGTCATACACTTATTGTAGCATCACGCACAAACTCTGGGATGTGAATGCTTATGGAAGCTCTATCCACAACCGTCAAAATCAGCTCAAGTGTTCCTGAATGTTTAGATGTTTGTTTGAATGACTAAACAACTGGTACAGGATCATACCACGCAGTAATAAAAAGGAGTACAGTTTTTGTACATGTAATGATTTAGATGACTCTTAAAGATGTTGTACTGAGTGATTCAGTTTGGAAACATTACTTACCATGTGATTCCTTTTATATGATGTTCTTGGAAGATAAAGTTAGAGAATCGATCAGCTGGTGCTTGAAGTTGGGCATGGGAAGGGGGAGGGAGGACGCAGGGAGTTTATTGGGTTTATGGGATTGTTTCATTTATTTTTGTAATTTTGATATTTATTCTTAGTTCTCTTGACATTTCTTCCAGACCATTTTCTATACTGGTACATGCTTGTAGTATGCAATATTTGCATTCCTTGTGGGGTACTGGACACGTGTGTAGCACAGATGTTGGTAGCTTCTGCTGGGGGACCCAGGCTGGGATCATCCTTCAAAGTTCTCTCTGTGGCTGGGAGTGTGAGTGGGTGCAACCTGTGGAAGATTTGACTCTGGGTATTAAGAACTCATATTTGGGGTGGGTGGGGACGTAACTTATGGGTAGAGTGCTTGGCTAGCACGTGTGAGGATCTGGATTTGTTCCCCAGTAAAACACACACACACACACACACACACACACACACACACACGCACAAAAGAGCCCAGATTCACTACAGATTTGCCTCTTGGCAAGAGCAGAAGAGTCCCAGAGGTTCTGAGCAGCCGCCTGGTTGCTCTCGGGCTGAGTCTTCCTGACCGCACACTGCCCAGGTGGGCTGCCTGCTGTGGCATCTTCCATGCTCATTATTATTGTTGTAATAGATACAGGCTTTCACTGACTAACCTGAGAGTCTTCGGAGGGACAGCCAGCTTGTGGCATTTACAGATAAGAAAATCGAGGCTCAAATAAGAGAGGCACCTATGCCAGGACAGCACTGAAAAGGTGGAGCCAGGATTTGCCCCGGGTTTGCTGGACTGCAGGGACCGTGCTCTTCATTCAGGGCAAGAGGGAGGTGCACCTGGGCCCTGGCCATTTGTGGGACACATATAGGCAGAGGAGAGATGGGCACTCATATGGTTTGAGCACCTGCTAGGTTTTTGTTTGCCTTAGGGAAGCCATCGTCCATCACCTTGTCTAAAATGCCGTGTCTCCACATTACTCCTGCTCCAGTCCTACTTTCTGTGCCTTCACAACACAACGTCACTTTGTCATAGCATCTGGCATCACATGACTTAGACATCATTGGTCCCCATCTCCTCTGAGATTCACCCGGCTCCTTCTGCCTGGGCCATGTCCCCATTGCCTGATTCAGCATAGATGCGCAATGAGTATTTGAATGAATTAACAAACAAACCAGGGACACTTCTTACCTTCTTTTGTCCATCCTCTTCCCATCTTCCAGAGAATCACTATCAGCAGCCCCATTTTACAGCTGAGTAAAGTGAGGCCAGAGAGGTAACGTGATTTGCCTAGATGACTCTTTGCATTGAATCCTGGAGGCAGGATTCAAACTCCCTCCCCTCTGTCTCTGCACTAGAATTACCTCCCTAGGGAGCTCCTTTGCAAGGGGCAGAGGGAAGGCCCTGGGATGCTGGGTAAGAGAAGTAGCTATGTACAGGCTGCTGAGAAGACCTCTAGGAAAGGGTCAGAGGGTGAGTGTGCGAGGTACATGCCACTGGCCTCACTCTCGGCCTGGCTGAGGGCCCTGCCCCCCACCGTCCATTTCCACCCTGATCTTACTTAAACCTGTCAGCTCAGGGGACCCACCCCTGCCATCAGCCACATACCTGTTCCCAGCTTGGCTGCTTCCTTGGGCCATGCCTTTCAAACTTATCCCCCTCCCTAAAACCTAAAGCCACTCCTCTGGTTTTGCTGTCCTCTCTGGAGCTGCCAGCCCCTTTCCCCAGGATCCTCAGTGGCAGCGGAGAAAGGTGATGTCTATTGTCACTGTTCTGCTCTGTGATGGCGTTGATGAGGCTGGCGGCCACTTTATTCATTCAACAAATACTTAACGAGCACCTTCCGGATGTTAGGCACCATTCTCGGTGCAGGGAATGAATTAAAGGACAGTCACAACAAAGTCTTCACTGTCCTGGAGTGTGTGTGTGTGTGTGTGTGTGTGTGTGTGTGTACAGACAGCAACTACAAATATAATAAGAGAGTTGCACCGTGTGTTTGAAGATAAGTAGAGCAGGGGTGGGGGGTGCTGAGCAGGGAAAGAACTGCAGTCTGCAGTGGGGTGTTGGGGAGAGCCCCCCACTCCAGGGGAGACTGGCAGGGATGGGCTGTGAATCTTCTGCCCTTGGCTTCAGCCCTTTATCAAGTCTCCTGGAAGCCTGTCTGTCTGTCTGTCTGTCTGTCTGTCTGTCTGTCTGTCTGTCTGTCTGCCCAGCCTCTGCACTGCTCTCTTCGCAAATTCCTCCCACAGAAGCCCCAGTGAAGAGCCGACTTAAATCTGATCACATCACTCTGCTGAATCCAACCCTCGCTCCCCATCCTCCACTGCAAAGCCCAAAGTTCTGCCAACAGAGAGTCAGAATCTCCACCGACCAGCCCAGCTCTGCGTCTGCTTACTGGGGTTCCGATTCCCACACTCAGCCTTCTCTGGGAAGGCTTTCCCGTTCCCCTTATCCTCTATCTAGACTATGCCCCTGAGGCTGGGGCTTCCCCTGGTCAGGGCTGATCCAGGGCTGGCTGTCCAGTGAAAGTTCTGCCCACTTCCCCCCAGCAGTGGGTCCAGGAGGAAGGGCTGTGTTTATCTATGTCATCCTCAGACTCTTGGCTCCAAGCACAGGGCCAGGCACACAAAAGGAGCGCAATAAATCTCTGCTGACTGCAGAGATGCCTGGTTGGTCCAAGGTGCCAGTGGGTGCACAAGAGCACAGGCTGGGCAAGCTGTTCATCGTCCCCTCCCTGTGGGTAAGTGGAGGGAGCCGGGGCAGGCCGAGAAGCTATGCAGCATCTGAAGCTCATTTGATTTAATTTCATGATTGTTTAGGTCTTTTTTCTTGCTTGACAACTATGGATTGGGAGATAATCTGAAAATCAATCTTTGTCTGTCTCTCCGAGTTCACCCAGGACCCCGGTTTGGCTCCATTGACAGTGTTCATGGGAGCTGACAGGCTGCTCCTACTGTCCTGCTGGTGGTGACAGATGTTTTTCAGGACAGTGGGGCCAGGGGTCCTTCTGCTCCCTGGTCTGGTGAGAACTCTGAAGATCAATGAGGAGGGCATTGCCTGAGGGAAGCAGCAGGGAGCTTGGAGGGCCCTGATCAGGATGAGGGAGGCGAAACTCCAGGTTACGGGGATTGCTCCGTGGCACACGTGAGTTTGGCTAGGACCTCTGCATCCTGGGCCCTGGGTGCCTCTCTGCCACCTGTGAGAAGGATCCTGGGCTGGTGAGGGCTCCCAGATGCAGGTGGGTAGTTCCAGAAGCACGGACAGAAGTGGAATGGAGTTTGGAATTCATGCAGCCAACATCCAGGCCTGGATGCTTCCGACCTTGTTGAGTCCTGCCTCCTTCTTGCCCCCGTTTTTCTAACATACAGATGGGAAATGGTTTTGGAGGTTCAAAGACCACACACCAGCCTCTAGGGTTGGGTGGGCAGGCCACGTACACCAGCAAAGGGTGAGTGAAGGCCACTGGTTGTAGCCAGAGGAGGGAACAGGTCAGCAGGCAAGGGTGGGTCCTATCAAAGGAAAACCGTTTTCCTGTCTGCTGGGCTCCTCTGCCTTGGTACCAAGATGTTTTTTGTTTTCTGGTTAGTGTGCTTCCGATACAGCCTCTTTCATGGAGCCTGCCTGCACCCCATCCAGGTGAGCCTTTGTTCACACTCCCATCACCCTGAATTTGCCTGTAGGAAGGACTGTGATGCCAAAACTCTAAAGCATGGGAAAATGGGTGTCTGTGCAGTGTGGTCACCTCACCAATCACTGTGGTAAGCACCCATCTACCTTGCCTCAGCTGGCCCTTACCCTGCACAACTGTCCCTGTGTTAGAGAAGATGAGACCCAGGCTCAGAGAGGTCACACAGCTGCCCATGGCCACGCAGCAGAGAGGGGGTTGAGTAGGGATAGGGGAGCTGGCTCTGTCTTTTCTCCTTCCTCCCATTCCTGACCTATGAGCTCCTGGAGAGTTGAGTCCACAGCTGTCCCCCTGTGGATAGCATCAGGGAGGTCACTGTGGCCCCAGGCTTGGTCTGAGCTGAGGAAGGATGCCCTCAGTCAAGGATCTCCATGGGGGAAAGATTCTGAACTGGATGTTGGGAGACCCCATTCTGGCCTAGATTATGCCAGTACTTCTCTGGGGGACTTTAAACAAGTCACCTTTCCTCTCTGTGCTTCAGTTTCTCCATCTATACAATGGAAGCTTCAGTTCCCATGTTTCCTTAGGTTGACTTCTGTGGTCTCTGCTCCTGGGATGTGAGCTGACATCTCAGATACCCTGTCTTCTCCCTAAGCTAAAGTCTCCTGAGCCTGAAGTAGCAGATAAGTGTACCCACCCCTGCCCTTGACACACTGTCCCCTCATCTCCAGAGATGGGAGGGGGTGAGTTCTGGGATTCTCAATCCCAAGCATGCCTGCCACTGGGTATGTGCATCATGGTATGGGGACATGAGTACATACGTAAGCAATGCTTTCCTCTTTGGCAACTATAAATTATTTTAAGAATGAAAACCAAGATACAGGTATCTATATATCTATATTTATTCCTATCTGTATCTATGGGATCACATGACTTTTAAAGATCAACATCAAAGTTCAAAAGACTTCATGTGCTTCAGACTCTGTCCTTGTTCCTTTCTGGATTTTCTATTTGGAAAAGTTTAAGAATCAGTGATTAGAGAAAGACCTTTTGCAGCATAGGATTAGGGTTCATTCCTATTTCTTTTATTTATTTGTTTTTTATTCATTTTAATGAGAAAAAAAGACAAAATAGCAATGAAACAGTTTCAAAAAGGTTAGTAGGACAGTTACAATAATTAATTTGTTGCATATTGTTGTCTTCATAGTAGTTATTCAGAGGACAGGATGCAGACATGATATCTTGTCTAAACACTATTAGTACAAATCTTTCTTCTCATTGACCTAAGAGAAAGTAGCTATCCTATCTTGTATATACATATTTTTTTCCACAACAAAACACTCCCTTATTTATACCCTCCTTTTTTGTTTTGTTTTGTCAGAGACCATTCTTATTTCTACAACTTAGCAGTTGCAAAATTTTGAACACGATACTTCTCTTGTTGTTGCATTAAGTACAAAAATCAACTTCGACAGAATTAATATTTTAACATGATTGAGTTGTCCAATCCATGAAGATGGTATATCTCTCCATTTATTTAAGTCTTCCTTAACTTCTTTTATCATTTTTTTCTCCTATTGAAGTTATCAGCATATATAGATAACTTATAATATATGTATAAATCTAATTATATATAATTAGATCTATAATTAATAATTTCTAATTTTTGTAGCTGTTGTAAATGTCACTATTTTAAAAATTTGATTTCTAAGTGTTCACTGTAGTTCCTAGAGATTTTTGTACATTGACCTATGTCCTGGAACCTTGCTAGAAGTTCTTAGTGGTAAGGATATTTTGTAGGTTCCTTGAGAATTTCTACATAGGCAGTATGTCACCTGCTCATAGGGCTAGATTTATGTGCTACTTTCTAATCTATCAGTCTTAATTTTTTTTAACCTTGTTGCACTGCCTGAAGCTTTTAGTACAATGGTGAGTAAGGGCAGTGAGGTAGCAAGGATGGGCATTTTTGTGTTGTTCCCTAGCTTAGCAGGCAAGCCTTCAACGTTTCATGGTAAATTGTGATGTCAGGTGTAAGTTTGCTATATATATCCTTTAACAGGTTGAGTTCTTTTGCATTCCTACTTTGTTGAGCTATTTTAAAAATCTTACCTATTTCTGTAAGCACTATGAACAGATATTTAGTAAATTAACTTTTTTTTAAAACTAGATTTTTCTAATATCAATGGTTACTCTAACTTTCTTGGATTTCTCTGCCATGGATGTTGAACATTTATTCATGTATTTATTGGTTATTTGTACTTCTGTGAAGTGTCTGTCTTACTTGTCATTTTTGATTGTTTTATTTATTTTATTTCATTATTTATTTTTTTTGTATTTTAGGGAAGGGTCTACAGGGTGTTCAGGGTCTCACTACTAGATCGGACTCATAGTGATTCGCCTGCTTATAGCCTGCCAAGAGCTGGGATTACAGGCGCACGCCACCACACCCAGTCTCAATTGCTGTCTCAGTGCGCCCCAGGGGCAGGGCTGGCATGGCAGGCCTGGGGATCGAAATTCTAGCCCCTGCACCTGCTTGCAGATGCTTTAATCAGCTGAGCTATTTGGCCTGCCCAAGTGTTTTATTTTGGATGTTTAATTATTGGAGTTTTTAAAAATATATTCTAGATGTTAGTCCTTTGTCTGAAGAATAGCTGGCAACCTCCACCCCCATTTTGTAGGCTGTCTTCTCACTCTCTTCATTGTTTCTTTTGGTGAACAGAATATTTTTTATTGTGCAGAAACTTTTAATTTCCTGTGCATCTGGGGTTCTGTTCAGAAAGCCTTTGATGAGCCTGTGACTTCCAGAGCTTTTCCTGTTTTATCTTCCAGAAGGTTGATTAAGTGTTTGTTTTAACATTTAGTTCTTTGATTTTAGTTTACTACATGGCAAAAGACAAGAGGCTAGATTCAATTTTCTGCCTGTTTCCCTAGCACTTTTTATTAAAGAAGTTACCTTAGCTTGTTATTCTTATATACGTGTTTATCAGTTCTGTTGCTCTTTCTTCATTCCAGCTAGGGTTGAGATATGGCTTGAGCTGTCCACTCAAGGGCCCATGCGATGGAGACTTAGCCCTCAGAGGTAACGTGGAGAGTGATGGGATCATGGGAGGTGGGACCTAGCGAGGAGGGGCTTGGCCACTGGGGGTACAGCCCTCAGAAGGGAATACCAGGCTTTGGGAGTAATTTCTCATCAGAGAGAATCATTATGAAAGTGTGAGCTTGATCCCTGAATCTCTAGCATCCTGTTTGGCGGTGTGACTTCTTCCTCCCACGTGTGTTCCTGCCACTGCCATTTGCCACGAAGGGTCATAGTCAATCTGGGAGGCTCTTACCGGAGCCTATGCTATGCCATTTGTACTTTCAGCCTCCAAAGCAGTGCACTAAGTGACAACTCTTTTCATATAAAGTTAGCCTACCCTGGATATTCATTATGGAAATGACAAGCAAATTAATACAATTCAGGGCTCCACATTTCCCACTGATGCCTCTTCCCTTGTACCTGATGAATTCTTTTCTTCTTCTTCTTCTTCTTCTTCTTCTTCTTCTTCTTCTTCTTCTTCTTCTTCTTCTTCTTCTTCTTCTTCTTCTTCTTCTTCTTCTTC